CGCTGCCATTTGGGCCTCGGGACCGACGACCCAGCGCGAAACCGCCCCGAAGCTCTCGCACCCCCAACACGGAGCCGTCGATCCTCAGGGGGCCCATGCGCAGCCGCCTCCAGATGCAGCACGAGCAGGGCCGACCGCCAGAAGGAGGGGGCAAGGGGAGGAGAGCGCATGAGGGCCCCGGGGCAGTGGTCGACGAGGCCGTCGCAGAGCACGCGCAAGATGCGTCGCCGCAGCGGGGCGGCGATCAGAGCGGCGCGCATAGCGGCGGCGGCGGCGGCGACGAACACAAGGCGGACGCGGGGGTCATGACACTGCCCGAGGTTAAACCAATCCGAGTACCGAAGAGCCGACATAGGTCACTTGAAGACCTGGGCCAGAAACAGCCGTTCCATATTTGGCGCCTGACCCCAAGGGGCGGACCCGAGCTGAGAAACAGAGGGCGGCAGGCCGAGCCCCCGCTGCTGATGCAGCTGAATACCCCCGCCCAAAGATCCTGACGAATACCGGCGATGGCCCGAGTTCCCATCGCCATCTTGCGGAAAGGAGCTGGAAAGTTCCGCTCGGACTCGATCGTCGAAAGCAGCCAGAACCCCAAGCGCAACGCTTCGGAAGCAACCTCGGACTCCCCCCCACGAGCAGCGCCACACGGGATGGCGCCATCGGTCCTGGGAGAGAGTCGGCGCGGGCCAAAATGCTGCGTAGATGCGCCTTCAGCTCCCCATCCACGACCGGGACCAGTGGCGCAACGCAGCACTTGGAGGCGTTCGAGATAAGGCCAACGGGACACTCTGCATTGCGAAGCACCCTCGCCATTTCACGGCCTTCCATGAGAGTCCTCAAAACAGCACCAACGTCGTCGGCGCATGCCCGAGCCTAGCCGCGACCTGGGACCTGAACACTCCAATGCATATCCCACTGGACGCTGACTGCTGCAATGGCGAGCAGACTGCCACCTAGCGGGCGCCCCTGGAGAACGCCAGACAGCATGAAGAAGAAGCGGGGAAGAGGCCTCGAGCGGAGTAGAGACAAGAATTAGGATGGCAGAAGCCTCTGCCGACCAGCTCGCAAACACACGGGGAGCTGAAACGCCGAGGCGCATCATCAACCAGCACTGGCTGACCGACGGGAACGCGCGTGAAAAGCCGAAGGCAAGAAGCGACGCATTCCGAATGGCCTGAGCACTGGCTAGACGAGCGCGCGAATCAAACTCATAGACTCATAGACATTACCCAAGAAATACGGCCACGCATGAAGCCTCGGAAGGCCTCGTGGACAGGGAGAGCCAATCTCTTCGACTGCCTCAGACGCCCAAGATCGGCAATCCCACCAACCACTGAATTGGAAGTGTCGTTTGAGACCTGCGGGGCGAGCGTCGCGACCGCGCCGGACCACGCCGCCCGCGCGCCCATCATCCCCGCGCAGGACCCCCGTGGGAAAGAAAACCTGGAGACAGGAATAAAACGACAGGGGCACGAACAGACCTTGTGCAAACCAATAGAAGACATTCAACAGCACCCGAGGCTCCTGGCCAAAGATCCAGGAGGCATAGGCAAGCCCATCAGGGCCTGGCTCCGAGCGGGGAGTCCGCCTGAGGAACCTACGATTGGCGGCCAAAGTTGGAGGCGGGAGCCCACTGGAGACCTTCTCCGAACTTCGACAAATACCGTTTGCCCCGCGAAGGGACAGAAAGCCGCGCGTCAAACATCGGGCCACAGCGCTCGCAAAGAGCCGCGGCATGGCCCCTCAGCCGAAGAAGACCCCCCGCCCCCCCGTCAACGACCCCCGCCAGGCACCACCTCCGCTTAAAATGCGACCAAAGCTTGGCCCGCCTCTGGAGAGCCTACTGCTGGGCCCTGCACCTAAAGCGTCTCCCTGGGGCACGCTGAGAATTCTCGGCTGCGCGAAACCCCCCACTCACAGCCCGGCATTCCCGAAACTGGAGATCCAGACGAAAACGGGCAGAAGCGTTCGGCGAGGCGAGGCGGAGGGCAACGACGAGACGTCGACCGAACCAAAAAATCAAAACCGAAAGTGCCTTTCATTCGCCACGAAATGCTGGACGCCAGACCGCTCGGGCAAGAGAGCGGAGCAGCAAAAAAACTGCCTTTCGATCCCGAAGCTGACGGCCGCGGACGGCCCAGGCCGCCACCCGCCGACAGCGCGTCGCCATCTCCAACTCCGCTGGCGGGGAGAGACAGCCGAACTCGCCGGCGCCCGCCATCGCCTCTTACTCGGCCAGGAGGGCGGCGAACAGCGGGTCCTGACAGATGCCCCGAGGGATCTTGGCATGTCGAGCAGCCGCCCCACCCTGCCACTGTCGAGTCTGTCGCGAGACCGTCAACAGTACATGGTCTAAGAGCTGGGCGTCATGGCATTCCTCAGGCTGTCCACGGCGTCGAGCGCATTGATAGAGCTGGCGCGGCAGCCAGGGCGGCGACCCCGCGAAGCACCTGTCGATCCTGTACCCCGTCTTAAACGATCTGTGAAAGTGGCCGATGCCAGGCGCGACCAGCTCCGTCATCCAGCGGAAGAGCTGCAGCCACCCTGCCTGGCCAGCGCGAGCCTGCCGCCCAGCAGACGATCGATCAGCAGCACCGCCAGGCCGACCAGAACGCCCCCCAACCCGACGACCGAGAACATAGACCAGGTGCGACGTAGTGCAGCCAAACTCTTCATCAACGATAATGAAGTCACCAATCATGATGAGGCCGAACTGCATGGGGGTCTCTTCTAACCAAGGCTGCTTGGCCCTCAAAAGAGCGCCGAACGCAAGCGAACTCAGAAGACGAAAGATCGCGACTGTGGACATTCCAATGAAACCAGCGAAACCCTGTCTCACGGTGCCAAAGCTGAAGGCAGAGCACCCTGCCCGCGACAAACTCTGGCGGCTAAATGTGAACGTGCTGCAAAACCTGCAAAGGAACAACGTTGCAAACACCTCCACGATCACCGTGCGAAGAGAAGACCTGAACTTCCCCACGGACGCGCGCGAAGAGTTCAGCAACCATACCACCAGGACCATGCACCTCCTGAAGGGCTGCGATGGAGGTAGGTGCGAGGAGCGACTTGACAACTTCAGACTTGCGAGCGAGAACAGAAGAGTCGAAGTGGAGGAGGGCACGGCAGTTCCAGCTGCTGAAGGTTATTTTCTCGCCAGATGGGAGCGTGTTACCCAGTGCACTCGATCTGCCGCGATTGGAAGGTAGCCGTGGCAACGCGATCAAGCTCAACACGAGAAAGCCCCAAATCAGAAAAAACAAGCGAGCGAACAAAAAAACGCAAAGCAAGACAACAACAAAAAACTGCACGCGAATCGGCTCCAAATCATCGGCCACCACCCCCGCGAGCACCTCCCAGTCAACCGAGATAGCGTCAGGTTCCTCGCCCATGAAGACGCACTTCCACAAGATCTCCTGAACCTTCTCCCGCAAGCGCGTGGCAACACGTCCCCGAGCAATCCCAGAACTGTCACGGTCAACACTGACATGGATTGGCACACGCCTGCCTCCAGGAATAGTACACTGACAATGCGCCACACCCCCTGGGCATCCCGAAAGAGCCCGCGAGCCTGGCGCACACGCGAGATGCAGGTGGCGGGGACGCCCTGGAAGCGCACGATGAACCGCTCGCCGAGCTCCTCGCCCTCAACCTTGCAGTCCGCGCCCCGGGTGTAGTTCGCGGCTGCCATCCACTCGCCGAGCGCCTCGGCGACCAGATTGCGGCCGACATCCTCGCGGCAGGTGACGACGAAGATGCGGGGATCCGCAGCCCGCTGCCACTGGTCGTCATGGCAATGAGCTCCCTGGGAGCAGCCCGAGCCAAGTCAAGCTCCTTCTCCAGCCTCTCGAACCTCTCCACGAGCGTGCGATGCGCCAACTCAGAGTGGCCCACCTGCGACTCGATCTGGTGCAACCGCGCCTCATGGCCCTGGTAGCGCTGCTGCATGAACTTGCCGAGCGCGGCGACCAGCAGCCCGGCCACGCTGTTGACCGTCTTAGAGAGCTGGACCGAGACCATGTTGGTGATTGACTCCGCCGAGGCCTTCGACAACTCCGTAATGGCATCCCTCTTGAAATGCTCCAACATGTCAGACATCGCCACACGAGCCTGACAAGCGCCAGCCCGCACACGAAGGTGCTGCGCCCAAGGGTCCTGCCCCTGCTTCCACGACGAACCAGAGACGGGAATACCCTGCACGTCGGTTGGCGTAGGGGGGCCCGCCGACTGGTTTCGCAGGGCCTCCACTTTCAGTAGCGGCAGCAGCGCGCTGGGCCTCATGGTACTGGCGGATATGCTCCTGCTAACTGGCCAAGAAGGTCGCGCGCTCCACGAAGTTGTCACCGAAGAGGGCTGCGGCGGCGGAGGTGGCCCGATCACGATCTGATCCCTTTCCAAAGGCTCCTGGACAGCCGAGAACCACTAGCCGTTGAGCTGGGAGGAGGATGCCGAGGAGGACTGCGACGGCGCGACTACCTCCCCCGCGAGGAGCTACTCGAAGAGATGGGAGAGATGAGATCCTCCCTGTCGCCATTGCGCCTGGACTTGCCATCGCGCTTCTTGGTTTTGCGGCCGCCAGCCATGCGAGATGTGCGAGCGCTGCCCCGCACAGGAACTGGAAGCACCTCAATTTACCCGCGTGGGCCGATGCAGGTGTCGTGACTGCCAAAGAAAGGGACGGTGGCCTGGCCTCGGATCAGAGGTGCCGCTCTCTGCCCGAAGGACAGCATCGCCTTGAGCCAAGATGGCTACGAAAGGAGGAGGCAGGAGGAGGAGGAGGAGGACGACGACGACGAGCAGGAGGAAGGAGGAGGAAGAGGAGGCAGGAGGAGGCAGGAGGAGGCAGGAGGAGGAGGAGGAGGAGGAGGAGGAGGAGGAGGAGGAAGAGGCGGAGGAGGAGACGCGAGTCTAGGAGGAGGATGAGGAGGAGGAGGAGGAGAGAGAGGAGGAGGAGGAGCAGGCCCAGAGGCAGGGACGGGGACGTGCTCCAGGCTGGCACGCGCCTGCCGCAGCGCCTCCCGCGCCCGGCGCTGCCCGAGCTCCAGGTGGCCGCACAGCTCCTGCAGCGCGGCCTCCAGCGGGCCGCCGCGCGGCCCGCCAGGGCCGCCGCCCACGGGCGGCGGGTGCGCCATGCCCGAGGGCCGCAGGAAGGAGGGAGGCGGCAGGCTACACAAAGGCACGGATGGTGGGCCTGCAACTCTGCGCCGCGTCGCCGCTGGGCGCGGGAGGAGGAGGAGGAGGAGGAGGAGGAGGAGGAGGGAGGGGCGGGAGCAGGAGGGGGCAGACGGAGAGGTAGGAGGGGGAGGCGGGGGGAGGCAGGAGGAGGAGCAGGAGGAGGACGAGGAGGAGACAGGACGGGGAGGCAGAAGGGCAAGGCGCGAGGAGGAGGAGAATGAGGAGAATGAGGAGGAGGAGGAGGAGGAAGAGAAGGAGGAGGAGGGAGAGGAGGAAGGGGGGGAGGAGGAGGAGGAGGAGCGCACACGTGAAGCGACGCGCAAAATCGAGACGGGGGGCGGAAAAGGAGGAGGAGGAGGAGGAGAAGGATGATGATCATAATGAGAATGAGAATGGTACTGATGACGACGACGCCGCCGCCGACGACGACGACGGTTATGACGATGATGCTGATGATGATGCTGATGATGATGATGATGATTATGATGATGATGATGATGATGATGATGATGATGATGATGATGATGATGATGATGGTGAGGTTGAGGATGTTGATGATGATAATGACGATGATGATGATAGTGATGACGATAGTGATGATGATGATGATGATGATAATTATGATGATGATGATGATGATGATGATGATGATGATGATGATGATGATGATGATGATGATGATGATGATGATGATGATGATGATGGCACTGGTGGTGGTGATGATCGTAATGGTGATGGTGATGGTTATTGTGATGATGGTGATGATGATGACGATGACGATGCTGATGGTGAATGTTGATGCTTATGATGATGATGATGAATAGATGATGATGATGATGATGAATGAAGAGGAGGAAGGATGATATGATGATGATTACTGAATGATGATGATGATGATGACAGATGATGATGATTATGATGATGATGAGATTGAATGTGATGAGATGATGATGATGAGTTGAAGATGATCATGATTACGACGATAATATGGTGATGCCTTTGCTGTAACGATAATGATGATGCTGATCATGATGTGACCAGGCAATGAATGATGAGATGAAGAATGTGGAGTGAAGGAGGGGAGCAGGGGGAGGAGTCAGGAGGAGGAGGAGGAGGAGGATGGAGGATGAGGAGGAGGGAGGAGAGAGTAGGATGAGGAGGAGGAGGAGGAGGAGAGGGGAGGAGGGGGCGGATGAGATGAGGAGGAGGAGAGGAGGAGGAGGGAGGGGGAGGGGGAGGAGAAGGAGAAGGAGGAGGAGAGGAGGAGGAGGAGGAGGAGAGGAAGGAGGAGGAGGACGAGAGACGAGGAAAGGAGGAGAGGAGAGGAGGAGGAGGAGGAGGGGAGCGCCAGAAGGTGCGTCCACATGCACCCCCCCCCGCCCATATCGGTACACCTCTCGCCAGGATCGTGGCCCTACAGGGAGCTCCACCTACGGCCCCAGCGGCCCCCGACAGCGTTCGCACACCCATCACGAGAATCGTGGCCTCATAGGGACTCCACCTACGGCCCCAGTCGGTGCGTCCACATGCGGCCCTCCGCGCACCTCGGCCCGCCCCTCACGAGAGTCGTGTCCCCATAGGGGGGCTCCACCTGTGGCCCAAGTGGGCGCGTCCAAAATGCGAGTTTTGGCGCACCCACTACGAGGACTGTGGCACCATAGGGGGGCTCCACCGAAGGGCCCCAAAGTGTGCGCCCACATGCTCACATCTCGACACGCCCCTCACAGGGACCTTGGCTCCACACGCAGCCTTACCTACGGCCCCAGTGGGTGCGTCCACGTGCCGCCCCCCACCTCACTTCGGCACAGTTCTCACAGCGACCGTCGTCTACAGTGGGGCTGCACCTACTGCCCCAGTGCGTGCGTGCACACGCAGTCCACGCGTCCATTTCGGCACGCCCTTCAGGAGGACTGTGACCCCATAGGGAGCTCTGCCTACGGCCCCAGGTGCTTGAACATGCGATCCCAAAATTCATGCCAGAATACCCCTCACAAGGGTCGTGGCCCCATAGGGGGCTCCACCTACGGCCCCCGCGGGTGCGCTCACATGACCCCCACCCCCGCCCAGCTCGGCAGGAGGAGGAAGAGGAGGACAGGGAAGAGGAGCAGGAAGAGGAGAGGAGAGGGGGCTGCCCAGGCATGGGACCAGAATCAGGAGGAGGAACGAGAGGAGGAGGATCCGCAGGGGAGGCAGGGGAGATCGAGAGGGCCGGGCAGGGGCAGGAAGACCACAGCGGGCTCAGCGCGCCCGTGCGCGCCCCAGTCCGGCCCCCCACGCGCACGGCCCCGAGCTCCATCCAGAGAGGAGGGGGGGGAAGGGGCCGCAGGAGGGACCGGGGGCGCCAGGGGTGTCGGGCGTGGCCCCGAAACAGGAAGGGCGCGGGCACAAAAGAACACGCGATGCCAGGAGAGCACGCGTTGCCGCGCGAATGCGGGGGCAGGGGCCCAGAGGGCGCTGATCGAAAACATACGACAACCTGTCAGACACATGGATCTGCTCGCGACGATTCGTAATCGTGCCATTGTGAACATTCGTATGACTATAAGATATGGTTATATGCGAGACTTGAAGCTCGCTGCGCTTCGCTTGGAGGTCTCGGCATGGCACATTCGCGTGCAGCGTGCTAGTGACGTGCGACTCTGCGGGCCGAAGCGTCGGCGATGGACAGGGCTGGGGTTGGAAAGATCACGGGCGAAGGGGTGCGGGCCGTCATCAAGTCCGCGCGCGCCGAAGGAGGGGAAGGGGGGAACCTGCGACGGTGATCAGCGACGAGAGACGAAGCGGGGCTTGCAACGCCGAGGACAGGGAAAGAACGAGGCACGCGTTGGAGATGGGCGAGAAGAATAAAAACGGCCTGGCAAGGATGATGGCCCCATACCTCTGCAGACTTGGACAATGCGCGCGCGCACGAAGTGGGAGAGGAGGTGGAGGAGGAAGAGGAGGACGAGGACGAAGACGAGGAGGAGGAGGAGGAGGAGGAGGAGGAGTGGTCAGGACACGCGCGAACGCGAACGACTCGGCTGGCTGGTGCGGTCGGGCAGGCCATGGGCGATGAAAAGACAGGGCGCGTCTCTCTGGCGGAACCGCCCAGGGAACTCCCTGGGAGCCAGCGATGTGGCCTGGGAGGCCGAACGCGAAGCCCGGGAGGCTCAACTGGCGGGCCAGAGAAAGCCTCGGGGGCCCCTAGAGACGGGCCAGAGAGAGCCTCAGGTGCCCCTGGGACCGCCAGATATTGGGGGGGGGGGGCATCCCTGTGGGCTTCCCGGTGTGAGAAAATAAGATAGGAATATACCAGAACCGCGCGACGGCTGCGCGCTCTGGGTCTAGCAAGATGTGGCGATGGTCTAGGGTTTGCAGCATCGGAGTGCAGAAAGACTTTCATCAATCGTGGTCAGTCAGCAGATAGTACCATCCCTCTATGCCCCCACGGAGTCTACGCGATGAACCTCAATCGCCCTTGAACCTGTATCTTCCTCTCAGCAAGCCCTCCCATTCCCTCTCCTTCCTGCCCCCCTTTTGGCGGACCAGCGAAAGCACATTCCAATGGGCAGAAGAACTGCTGCGGGCGCGGTGGACGTGTTCCACTCGGCAGGCAGCGCGAAAAAAGCAGAGCAGCGCGCGATAGCAAGAAGACCATGGTTGCTATCGGGCCGGAGGGGGGGAGTGGGGGAGGGGAGGAGGCCGAGCGTAGCCGAGGAAGAGGAGGAGGAAAGGGCTTGATAACTGCGAGCGCCGATCCAAACGGGAGCTCCGCACAGGAGTACCTGCACCCACGAGGAGAGGCGCTGGGCTGGGCAGCGGCAATATTGGTTCCGCACCACTGGTTCCGCAGAGAGTCGCCGAGGAGCGGGCACCCCCTGCCAAGCGCAGGGGCGCGCGCACACTGGGCAAATAGGGTGCCACGGAGTAGCGCTTATCCGACCCCCCTCCCCAGCGGCGTGGCCTGGGCCCCTCTGGCCGATGTACCCCCCTGGAGGGGGGATGTAGGTCGTTCCCTTCGGGTTTCGAGGGGTGTATCCCCAACTGGGGTGGTAACTTGGTAGGGGTCTCGAAGGGGATGGGGATGGGGATGGGGATCGGATAAACGATGCTGAGCCACGAGAAGGGGGAGTCAGGAGCTAATGGGTGCCAGCACGGTGGATGTGCTCCACTCGGCGCACTGCAGCACCATTTCGGAAGCTCTCTCCCCCACTTTGCGCGTCCTCCTTGGGGCCGTTCTGGGGCCATGTTGGGCCTTCGCGGGGCCGTCGCTTGGACTCTCTTGCAGCCTTTCCGGGCCACATTAGGCTGTCTTGGGCTCTCGTGGAGCCGTCCTGGGGCCTTCTTGAAACACCTCGGGGCCCTCTGGGTACGCTGGACCGTCGTAGGCTCCTCCAGAGGCTCTCTTCGACCTTCCTGGGACCAGAGGCATGCTGTATCATGCGGGTGACAAGGAAGGCTTCAAAGGTCGAGATCTCCGTGTCGGCCTGGGAGCGGCCTCTGTATCAACTGGAGGTCAGTCGAACACCGACTTGTTGATAGTACATATGGTTGTCGACTGCATGATGATGACCTCGTCCTCGGCATGAGTGTGGAACTGCCACCTCGCTCTGGCGATGCGCAAAAGCTGATCGCGGATACACAGTTGCGCGCGAGCATGAGTTCTA